TTGGTTAAGTAATTGTAAATTACTTAACGTTATAAACCCTGCTTTGTGTCATCTAGGTTTAAGTAATCTTTAAATTAAACAACTATTAATTTGATTACAAATAAACTTTGTAATGTCAACTGAGGATTTCCTACGTCAGAGGAAATCATTTGTCTTATGTGGAGGATTGGAAGTTGTCATACTTACCAATTCTGAAACTTAATCATGAAAGAATACCGAAGTCAACAGAAACCCAAATTTACCGAAGTCTCTCCCAAAACTTAATAAAGATTGAGCTAAATCTTGCTGCTACTCAATTGATTACGGGTTTTCAGTCCGCCTAATCATTAATTGGGTAACAGTTTTTGGTGCAGGTTGGGTGGAATACAATTAAGTTTCACCATTTCTAGAGAATGAACATAAGGAACTTCAGTCAATTGAAAGAATTGTTAAGCTAAAAAGAATCGCAAGAAAGTAAACCTTTGAGAAATATCTATTAAGCAAAGAAAAATTTTGAAGATCACGAAGAGCCAACTTTTTATCAAGTCCAACTCAGAATAAATAGAATCAAAAGCCTTTACAGAAGTCAAGAAGAATCAATTGATTTCTCAACCCTAAAGAAAATTTAAAAGGAAATCAACAAAGTAAAGCAGCTTATCAAAAAATTAGATTCAGACATCAACATTGAAGAATTAATCTTTAAAGAAATCTAAAAAGTGGAGTCAAATAAACGAAAAAGATACACAAAAGAAGAAGAAGCTGAAAGACAATTATATCAGTGGAAAAAAGAATACTTTTTAAGCAAAACACCAACGATAATAGCCGTGAATCAAAAAGAGGACCTCAAAGAAAGCACTCCTGAAAAAAAAACAGAAAAGTTCTCAATTGAAATAATCTGTGGAGAATACTACCGACATAGAATAATCGAAAGACATTTGTACAAGACAGAAAAGGAACAGGAGCTCCTACACTAAACCTTTGAATCTTATAAGAGTATCTACAAAGGTCAAGGATACTGAACAGATATAAACGAAGTAGTTGAAATCCCAGGAATACCAACTAGATTTAGACCTAGAGCCCTATTCAACACATTACGACCTAAATGACTAGAGCAATGTGGAGAGAGTATGAGGAAAAGCAAGAGAACCATTATTCAGCAAACCATCTACTTGAAGGAGACAATATCGATTATAGCTGTGAGAAATGCTACCCAATAAAAGAAAATCAGGAAACTGCCAAAACCCAAAGAACAATTACTTGGCTCAGAGGACAAGTGGCCATTAATCGATATACAGGAGCAACAGTATAGCTTTTAAAACAAGCTATGATGAATAGTCGTCCAAAAGAAGTTAAGAACTAACTGAAAGAAGTGATATATAGTGTAATCTACACGGAAGAAACCAAACTTGAAGGACTTTATGAAAGATTACTCTGAATTCGAAAAGACAGGAGGATTCAGAAAAGGCAAAGAACCTGAAGAACTAGGCAAATACCAGGAAGCATCAGGAGTAGGAGGAATATTAGGCTCACAACAAGCGCTAAGGAGCCTAATTGACATATTACTACCATTAGAAAATATATCACAAGACTGACATGAAGGATTAAATATTGCCGAAAGAAGTGAACATGAATACACTTTAAAGAAGACTAGCGTAATTGAAGAAGTGGAAGATGAGGAAGAGGAAGTAGACATGAAAGGACTCATGAAATAATTCTTCAAGGAATTTACTAAAAGTATGAAGGATACAAGAGAAACTGAACCTCGGATTAGGGAAACCAGACTTGTGGACTTTCCAACATTCAAGGGAGAATTACAAGATCCGGTTGCATGGCTAGAAGCATTTGAAGGAGCAAGTATAGCAAACAGCGTGGAAGAAAGCCGAATGCTAAAAATAGTAAACTCTTATCTCAAGGGAGAAGCTTATACTTGGTTCAATTCCCAGAATGTGAAGTATTGGAATCGATTGGATAAAGGAAACAAATTCTTTGTGAGTCTCTTTATGAGTGAGTATTGCAGCATATACCAAAGGACTCAGTGAGATCAATAGTTGAGAAACCTAAAACAGCAAAAGAATGAAACAATTGCATAATACACAGCCAAGTTAAGAGAGCTATGAAGAAGGGTGGATCCTCTGAAATGAAAAGCTGAGGCAGATGAAATCATGGATTTTATAAGAGGACTGCTACCAGAGTATATTGAAGCAGTACAAGGAAGCATGCCTTTAACGATTGGACAAGCTATCAAAAAGGCTAAAGCAATGAAAATAGCCAAGAGCATAAAATGGAAATAACTGGGAAGAAAATCGAACCTAGTTATCATCTAGAGAAGAAGAAGGAAAGAGGATTCCTCAATAGAGAGGAAACAATTGAAGAAACAATCAAGAGGGTTCTCCAACAAGAGAAAGGAACCCCAAATATTATGCCAAATGGACCATATCCGAAATGTGGGAAGAATGGTCATTGGGCAAGAGATTTCCCTGCAAAATGGTGTTACAATTGTCAAAAAATTGGTCACCTCGCAAGAGATTGCAAAAGATCTGAAAGGACTGTGAAATGCTACAACTGCAGGGAAGAAAGGCACATTTCCACAAAATGCTCCAAGCCTAAGAAATTTCTGGAAAATAAAGGAAAAGGACTCGAGATAAATAAACCCTATAGGACGAATGTAAGCCAAGAGGAATCTGACAACAGGAGACCATCAAGAATGTATACGTACCAAAGAAGAACAAAGAAAAGTTAGCGAATACATTAAAGGATTGCCTCGAACTACTTAATGAAGATTTAAAAATCAACTGCACCTTTAGGAGGTGAGAGTGCAGAATAACAAAAACCTCCAAAATATATTCTTAATGTGCTGTATCATTGTTGGGATAGAATTTAGATATCAAAAAGAAGTGAGAATGCCAAGGTAATGGCTGGTCTCTGACAAACTGTATGTGGAAAAGTAGAACCATTTGAGGGATCAGCTGAAGCATACTTAAGGGAAACCTCTGAAGAAGCAGGAATAGATCTTCCATTAAAAAGGATTAGGAAAATATTCAATGATCCTGTGTATAACTGTAACATATATATTACCAAATTAAAGAAGGAAGAGATACCGATATGAATGGAAGAAAATAAAGCTGGTTCATGAAGGTCTATAGATCAAGAAAGATACCTGAATCTGATAGAAAATGGACAGATAACTCCAACATACGTAAGGTTTGCGTACAAAATCTTGAATAAATTGGATTCAATTGAAGAATTGACCAAGAAATGTCCAAGAATTATTCCACAGAATAATCTACAAGAAGAAGGAAAACCTAGTGCAATAACACAACAATAATCACCCAAGAACGCACTATTCATGAAAGCAAAAGTGGCTGGAAGAAAAACAAATGTAATGATTGACACAGACACAGTGAGAAACGCCGTATCAAAAAGCTTCCTAGACGAAATTGGATTGGAAATTGATGAACCGCCTGATAGAACTCTGATTGGAATAAGTGGAAAAATCACAACACCATTAGGAGTCATCCATTAACTTACAATCAAAATAAATACAACGATCTGGAAGATTGAAGCTGTGGTTATAGACTCTGAAGCCTACTCAGTGATTCTAGGAAATGAATAGGTTGTGCAAGTCAATGCAAAAATAGACTTCTACCAAAAAAGGCTATTTTATCAAGTAGGAGAATCTATCAATAGACAACCTATTTATGAGAACGTGCCCATAACGTGCTGGCAAAGGATCAGATTTGAGAAGAAAACAAAACCAAAAGAAGAATCTGATGAAGAATCCGATTTTGGATTGAACTGGAAGATCCAGAATTACCTGAGAAAATGCTAGCAATATAATAGGAAGGCGAATTTATTGAAACTCCTTTAGAAAACATAACTGTTACAACAGAACGAAAGGAGGAAAGATTCACAAAAATTCAAATAGAGGAAAGTGATCAAATACTTTCCATAGATGAAGGAAGAAAGACAGTGATTGGAGAAGTTAAAGGCAAACAGAAAGAACAATTACTGTGAACATTGCAATCATACGAAGATGTAGTGGCCAAAGAAGGAGAAATTAGCAAAACAAATGCATTCAAACACAAAATTTACACAGAAGAAGGACCGCCGATAAGCCAAAGGGCCTACTGTATGTCACCAGCAGAAAATGAGATAATCAAGAAAGAGATTGATAATGGATTAGAAAGAGGATTCATTAGACCATCTAATAGCCCGTAGGCCTCACCAGTGGTTCTTGTTAAAAAAGAAAAATGGCAAAACAAGATTCTGTGTAGACTACAGGAAACTGAATGACATGACAAAAAAGGATAAGTACCCTCTACCACTTATTCATGAGATTATTGATAACCTCCAAGAAGCAAAATAGTTCACATCAATAGATCTCGCATCAGGATATTGGCAGGTGGAAGTTGCAGAAGAAAATAAGTAGAAAAAAGCATTCATTATCAAGTATAAGTTATACGAATATAATGTTATGCCGTTTGGATTATGCAATGCCCCAGCTACATTCCAAAAACTCATAAATAATGTGTTTGGAGATGTATTATAGAAGTTTGCCCTAGACTACATCGATGATATCACCATTTACTCAAGAATATGGGACGAACACGTGGAACATATAAAAGAAGTAATGTTAAGACTTAGAGGCATAGGACTAAAAATCAACCCCGACAAATGTCACTTCGCATCAAGGGAAGTCTAATTCCTTGGACATATTGTGGGAATCGATGGGATTAAACCAGATTCAGAAAAGGTGATCAAAATTAAAAATTATCCAGAACTAAGGAATCAGAAAGAACTCAGAAGGTTCATTAGAATGACAGCATATTATAGAAAATTTATTAAAGAATTTTCAAGAACTGCAAAGCCATTATTCAAATTATTAGAAATTGAAGGCCAATACCTATGGGAAGAACGATAGTAAAATTCCTTTGAAATATTGAAGGAATGTTTAATAAAAGAACCAGTGCTATCATATCCAGACTTGGATAAAGAATTCATCCTGACAACTAATGCATCAAAAGTAGTAGTAGGAGCAGTATTGTCACAGAAGAATAAATAAGGAAAGGAACATCCTATTGCTTATGATAGTAGAACTCTACACAAACATGAGCAAAACTATGACACCACAAATCTGGAAGCTCTCGCTGTAATATGGGCCTTAGGAAAGTTTAGACATTATTTACATGAAAGGAAATTTAAGATTTATACTAACCATAGCATACTCATATGGTTATTAAATAATAACCAAAGTATAAATGGACGACATTCTAGGTGGAGAATGATCCTGCAAGATTACAACTATGAGATCATTCATAAGAAAGGAAAATATAACTCAGTACCTAATGCATTATCTAGAATTCTGATACAAACATTTTCAACAACCAATCATCGTAAGAAATGAATAAGGGAGAATACGATGATATATTCAAATATTTAACAACCCTTACATACTCGGAAAAGGCAAATAAACAACAGAAATCCCAAATTAGAAAACAATCTAACAAGTATTTTACAACGGAACAACATTTATTCAAATGACACAAAAATGGACAACCCAACGAGTTATATTACCCGAACAAACTGAATTGATATTATTCAATCTACATAAGAATCTTACTGGAGCACATCTCGGAATAGAAACAACCTATGAAAAATTGAAAGAAAGGTACTATTGGTCACAGATGTATGAAAGTGTTAGGAAATACATTCAACATTGTGACACGTGCCAAAGAAGAGGAAAGCCCAAGAGGACAGAAGAACCTCACCCAATACCAGTGAAAAGACCTTTTAACCAAATTGGTATAGATATAAAAGGACCTCTGCTAGTAACAACAAATGGAAATAGATATCTCATAGTAGCTATGGATTATCTTATTAAGTGGCCTGAAGCGAAACCCTTGAAGCAAGCAAAAGTTACTGACGTAGTAGAATTCATATTTAAAGAAATAATTTGTAGACATGAAGTACCAGAAATTATCTTGATGGATAGAGGCACTGAATTTAACAACCAGTGGGTAAATGAGCTATGCAAGGATTGGCAAACCAAATATCAATTAACTTCACCGTATAGGCCTCAAACGAATAGAATGGTAGAAAGATTCAATAGAACTATAGGTGAATGCTTGGCGAAACTCTCTGAAAAAAGGAATGGGATCAATGTATTGAAGCAATACTATTGGCCTACCGAACTAAGAAACATGAATCTACGGGATTCACACCTTTTCAGCTGCTATATAGAAGACAAGCAATCTTGCTAATTGACCTAAAAGTAGTAACCTATAATAAGGAAGAAAAAAATGCATTGCTTAAACGAACTCAAGAAATCATGGAAAATAATAATGCTTATGAGGTATAACAGTGAATCAAGATACAACAAGCAAAGCGAAAACAGAAAAATGTATTTGAGAAATTCAAGATTGGAAACAAAGTCCTGTTGCACTAAACATATTTAGAAAATAACTTTTCAGCAAAATTAGAAGCGAAATGGATTGGACTGTACTTTATCTATGAAGTTTATGAGAAAAGTAACTATAAGCTGCGAACTCTTGAAGGAAAGTTATTGAAGAATTCAGTACATGAGAATAGGTTTAAGATGTATTACGAGGAAACACTTGAACCATGGGTCATCATTGAAGAGTTTCTTCCGGAGAAAGAAAATTAAAGAGGGAGGGTGTAACCCAAATGATCTTTGGAAAATTAAAAATGTGACGCAGTAAAGTGATCTGCAAATGATCATCATGTGAATTGA